AGTCTAGGGCCAATTCTTCGTCTGCTTACTTTGTTTCCATGTATTCTAATGGCTTCGGGTGGAATCCAACAGATCGTGGGATGTCTCAAGGTCCCTTTTTTCTTTGTAAAGTAGACTAGTCATAGTTGTATAAATAACACATGGTGCTCACATTGATTCATCCAGAACACATTTTGAATTATGCATCCGTATTTTATGAATCTGGTTGATTTCCTTGCTTTTGTGGCTATTCAGAACATTAATCTATCTTGATAAATGATAATGAGTTCTAATGGATTCTGGTGGGTTCTGGTGGATCCTGATGGATCCTAGTGGATTCCTGGTGGATCCTATAGATCCTGGCGGATCCTAATGAATCCCAGGATCCACCAGGATCCGCTTTTCCCCTCTTGCAATTATCAATATGTAAAAATGTGAACCGATGTCGAGCATCATGTTTTTTTAGCATGCAACTTCTTCTATCATAATGTTATGTAATTCTTTTTCTTCACCCTAATCGATTAGGTCCTAACATATCCGAAGAAGCTAGCTCGAAGCACATATATTCTGAACGAAAAGTCGTGCAACATTAGCTTGCAGATGACAACAAACGAAAATCTGTCCGATTGATCTAGAACAGCTTGAACACGTGTCATATTGAAGAAAATAGGCTCCGAGGCTACTAATACTGGCAAACATGAGTTGATCATCAAATCAAATGAACTTTGTAAAAAATTTTAAAAAAACAGGTGATATTGAACATAGATCCAAACACTGTTCGACGTCGATTACGTGGAAATAATGGAAATTTTGATTTACCTTTAAAAAACGATCCTAACTCACAGATAATTATCACGAGTAACGACTTATTATATCTTGACAGTATCAAAATTTTAATGAAAACGATATGATTTTTATTGAGACAAATAACATCAAACTCGATTACAACTCAAGAAAACTTAGGAAATTTTTAGATATCATAAAAATTGTTCCTATAATTAAATATCTTCTCCAGTTGAACATCTGGAAATGCGTTTCAAACAGAATTTCACAAGGAGTGTTTGAGTGCAGCATATATCCGAATAGTTTGTTCGACGATAAGGGGCGCAATAAATTAAAAAAAACTGAAATAAATCAAGAGTTAAAGCAAGAAATAAAAAAGACATGAAAATATCTGCTACTTGACTTGCTTCTCAATTCGGTTGCTGATATAGGAAGATAAATAAAATCCTTAAGTAATAAAAATGGTAATTATGGATCATATAAAAAAAACACAGCTATTTCATACTGTCGCTCGATAATAAAATTGAAGTAAATATGAAAAGCTTTAAAGACGAGAGAGATTAGGAAAAGACTTTAGCTCAGGGATGTAATCAATCTTATTTTTCATTTAAAAAAATTTATTTATCTCGTCTACAGTATTTAAAATAATCATTCTGCTTTCTAGTAAGAATTCTAGAAAACGTATTTGACTGTCCTTATCTTGAATGAAATATTTCCATTTTGAAATGAATGTACAATAATTTACGTTCAAAAATCATATTTATAAACATTACTTAAAATTGAACATTATACTGTTGAAATAAAAATGAATGTAATTAGTTAGCAGTTGCAGTTCATTCTCCATTATTTATGTTTTCATTTGTCGCGAGTGGTGGACATATATCTGGACTAGTCCACGCAGCTGGATAACAGAAATGTTGACCATTGCATTGATTATCTTTGACACATATTGAATCATTTTGATCACATTTGTCAGTTGAATTACAAGGTGTTGCACGAGAACATTCTACATGAGGTGTACAAATTTGGTCTCCTGTTGATACTACCGTTAGGCATCGACAATCAATATTATTCGAACATTCACCATTGTTTTTTAATGGATCACAAAAACTTTGATATGATGTAATCTCACTATCATCCATCGCAGACAGTGCTACAATAGAAAAGAAACAAAACCATTTAACAGAACACTAGTATGGATGTAACTGTTTTTGTAATGAAACATACCCGTGTGCATACATATGCTAAAAATAAAGTAAAAAAATATGAAATTGTTAAATGTACGATATACAATACTTACCATATAAATACAAGAAAATAAATTTTCATGATTCAATATAATCGAAAGTTGTCTCACACTTGTTTTATATCAAAAAGAGATTAAATAAGACAATATATTAGAAGTATGTATAGTCTTTAGGATTGATTTATCCAAATTGATATTTTAAATAGTTGATTGACTAAGTAGCAGATTACATTTTAAAATTATTATATTTGACGAATAATACAGAAGGAAAAAACCTATGGAAAATTTGCTGATTATTTTAATATAACTGGCACGAATGAATTATGTAAAATACTCTAAACAAATAAATGATGGAAATTTGCCAAATGCTTACGTTACATAGGTTGATTACGTTCCTATTGAAGAATTCTGAATGAGCCTTGTCATGCTAGGCATACACGTATGCACTTATCAAACAGTATTGTTTGTCAAAGCAACAGAAAAACATTCACTTAATGGAATTTCAAGTGCACGATAGAATCTTTTCTTTTTCTATGTGCAGAAAAAAAGATGGTGACATTTTTTTTATTCTGAGAAGTGCACGACAAGAAACGAAGAAAAAAATTGACGAATTATATCTATATCTGAAAGTGGATTAGAATAGAAAGAGACATATTTTTGTACGCATGATACTTATTGTATACTGATAAAACTAAACGCATTTCTATATTATTCCATTATACATTAGAAGAAAAAAAATCCAGTACATTAGCAATATAACGACAACACGTGAGAACACAAGTGTTTATTCAATCAATTTCTATTTATTGGCGACTAGTAATAATAACTGAATTGATTGTTTTAACAGAGCTGTTCAAGCTTTATTTCTATCTTTGAGTGGATAAAATAGATTTGATAAATGTTACAGTTGATGACAAAAAAATAGCTAACTAATAATAAATATGGATCTTTTGTAATTGTCATACATGTTGATAGATACAAAATAATCACACGCGACAAAGCTAAACAAATAATCAAATCTAATATAAGAATAATAATTATTGAACTGATTTAAACTATTAATGGTTGATTTTTTCATTGAAAGTTAGATTTGAAATTGACAATGAGTCCTATAACAACAATGAGAACAAATACATCTTGCAATTTTTGAGCAACATTGATTGTCTTGTATTGATTAAATAATAATGCATGAACAAGTATGGATATTGTTGCCTTAAATATTAATTTATCTATTTTAATATGTTCTTGTTGAATTATATTTACAAGAATCACTAAAATATTTTTTTAAACAACTACAACGACGTCTGTAAGTTTTTTCATCAAAAGGTATACCACTGATAACATTGACAAAAAATTTATTTGAATTTATGTATTTGATGCATTTTTCATGTTCAACACAATCACAAATTATATTTTTAGCTCGATTATTTTTTCTGTTAATAATAAAATTGCTATTCAACGATTAACGGGAAGACATGAAAATTTTAAGTTAGTAAAATACCATGAAACATAACCAATTTTTAGAAAAAAAATTTAGGTTCTTCTTCACTAGATAAGATTTGAGAATATTGATAATCAAGGGTCTACAAAATTTTTTTGATCAGAAATAATTGTTCCATTTTGTGGATTCACAAGTGAAATAAGAAAGTAGATCTAATCGATAACCACATACTTTTGGAAATGTTATTTGTTCATCGAATGATATTGCTCCTAATATATACTGACAATTAGATGAATCAATTACCTCGCATTTAATATCAAGTAATGAATATGTATAATTTAAAATCGAATTTTCTTCTTCATCTTCACTATTTGTAAAATCCATTACTGAATCAAATAAACGATATTTAAAAATAGTTTTTATTGAATCTTTAGACACATTGCTTTATAATTCTGTATCATACATGTGATGAATAATACGAGAGAAAGAAAAATTGATGATCAAAAAAAAAAGAAGAGTCATTCCATTAACTTACTATCGTATATTTCACGCTAACCTAACAGAATCCATAAGTAGATATTGACATTTCTGGATTAAATCCAAATAACATGAAACAAAGTAATTGGTTGCAGCTAGCACAATTGGTGGATCCGAATCTGGTGGTGGCAATGGCATAAAAAGATTTTTTTTATCATAAGGAAACTCTGCACTATTAAATTTATATTCACATCAACGAGCAAACCAATCAGTTTTAAAAATATTAATAGTTTCATTGTCATTAAATATTAGTTCAAGTTCACTAATTTTGTTCATAAATTAAATACCGTTTTAATAAATCTGTTTGTAAATACAAATAAATTAAAGTAGTCGTTGCATTTGTTAAATGTTATATAGAGAGTGTTGAGGAGAATGCAATCTTATCAAGAGTAATTTCAATATTCAGATGCTGATTAAAATTAAATAATGATTAGTCAAATTATCACTATCGTATTATTCAAAATTGAGAAATAGATAGAATTAATGAGACAGTATATATTATTTTATAGACAGAAAAAAAAACCTTTGTCTTTTCAATGTCAACTTTCCAATATTAGTAAAACACATAAAAGTTTTTATATTCTTAACAGAAACGTAACACTTAATTATATATCTATGCTTTGATGTGAAATTTTTATTTGCTAAACACGTACTACTCGTAGAATAAGTTTGATTTTGTTCTATGATCTATCAGATAGTGAGAAAGACGACTTCATATTTTTGACTGAATTTTGCTTAGACAATCTTTTCTATTGGAACAGCTAAGAAGTTTGAACATGTATAAAGAAAGAATAGAACTAAGATTCACGACTTATGAAACTACGCTGAATTCAAATAGTAAAAACAATGCAAGAAGTATTATTCTATTATTTTCAAAGTGTCGTATCTTTTGTCGATTGATACACTCCCAGCTATCTTTTCTTTATACAAACAATAAACGTTGAACATACAATGATTGTATACGAAATTCATTTATCATCTCTTTCTTCATACGCACTTATGATGAAAGATCGTTGAAGAAGATGCATGTTCAGCATGGCTGTTAAGATTTCTTATAATTTGAGAACTTTATTTTTCTTTCGTACGAATTACTTTCCGGTTGAGAAGTAGTAAAAGAAAATTGTTGTGCTTTTCATATTGAACTTCCATAATGAGGTAGAATAAAACAAAGGGTGAACCTAGTTGTTTTCGACATTTTATCATGAATAGTTAACTGGTAAGATAAGGAAGAAAAAGAGATACAATAGAAATGTAAATATTATAACAAAAAAAAATACTGCTTTATTTAACAAAGAATGTCATAGATAATAGCTTCAAAACCATTGACATTCAGAGGTAAAACAAAACGAGACTTGGCAATTCTTACTTTGCTTAGCAGCATGTATATTTTTACGGCGATCGTTCTGCTTGCACTGATGCTGCCTGCTGCCGTATTATCAACAGATAATAAAACCGAACATGCTATAGTAGTTGATTCACTAGACATAGCTCCGGTATGGGCTGGACATCCTGTTAATTTTGTTTTATTAACACATCTACCCTATCGATTTATAGCATATTACGATGATACACGTCAAATGACTATTGCACAGCGTAATTTGAGCGAGCGTATATGGACAATCAATAAGTTGCCATTAATTACAAATTGGGATAGTCATAATTATATTGTAATGGCTATTGATGAGGATGGATATTTACATTTAAGTGGTAATATACATGTTGTACCACTCATATATTTTCGTAGTGTACAACCACTAAATGCTTCTACATTCGTACAATTGGATAGAATGACTGGTACCGATGAAAATCGTACTACTTATCCTATGTTTATGTATGGACCAGAAAATGAATTTATCTTTACGTATCGTTTGGGAATGAGTGGCAATGGTAATCAGATTTACAATCTTTACGATTTAAAAACAAAAACATGGAAAGGTTTACTTGATAAACCGTTGACTGATGGTGAAGGCAAACGTAATGCATATTTTGATGGACCAATCAAAGGTCCAGATGGTTATTTTCATTTAGTTTGGGTTTGGCGTGAATCCCCAGATGCCTCTACCAATCATGATCTTAGTTATGCACGTAGCAAAGACTTGGTGTCTTGGGAGACTGGTGCTGGAAGATCTTTGGTATTGCCAATGACATCGGAAACTTGCGAAATCGTTGATCCCGTACCACAAAAGGATGGAATTATTAATGGCAACACCAAACTTGGTTTCGATGAATAAGGACATGTAACGATTAGTTAACATAAGAACGATGTAAATAATTATACACAACCATGGACGGCTCGTCTCGAAAATGGTATATGGAAGAAATATTAGATTACTAATTGGCCATGGTATTGGGATTTTGGTGGTGGTGGCACACTGAGTTTTGCTATTGCGCTAGGTTGAGTAACGAAAGAAAATGATGAGAACCTCACGCAAGCATTTAGTCATATTAAATTTGGTAATGGAACATGGTCTATTGACCCGAGAAATTTGAGTGCTACCGGTAAACTTCAACGGGAAACTATACCACCTTCACTCCTTAAAGTAGAAGGTACTTTCCCAGGATTGGGAGTTCATATACTCGAAGATATCGGTCAAAACAATGTTGTCAATATTCGCTATGTATTGCGTTGGGAAACATTAGGTAGTAATCGTGATCAACCTCGTCCTCCTCCATATCCTTCACCTTCGATGTTACGCGTGTATGCTGTGAAAATTGTGTGGGAAAACGTACTGACAAGACATTGATTTCGAATTTATTCTATGTTAAAATATCAATTAGCCGCATAGTCTTATATAGAAACGTATATCTTATTTGCTACTTTATTTTTTGTTGTGGTGATCAAAATCAAGTAAAATTACTAATTTCTTGAAATAAACTAACTTTTTGAAAAACTAAGCACTTACTGAACCGATAAGAGAGGAGTAAAATTTCGCACAAGCATCATCTGATGGAACATAGTCCCAGTCAAACTCTCGAATTTTCTGCATACAAAAGAACATGATAATCAAAGTATTTATGTAGAGAGTATACGTCTATGATAATCTATGTAAATTTTGATAATAGATGTACTAAATAGTACCATGCTTGTTTCTTTTTCTCATTCTCTTTCTTCACGTATGTTTATCAATATCATCGAAGTATAAGTTTGAGGCTATCATTTTTTTAAAACTAGACAGATCTCTCTTTCAGTATGTGCCCATTTAATAGTTTCCGTAAAAGCTACACATATCATATTCCATATTGCTTAAATACTCATGTTATCGTTTTGGATGTCCTCATGGGTAATCATTCTCTATACGTATGTCTTCTCACTGAGATTGGATCAACTGTTAAAGAAATGTTACTCACATATTTAAACTGCACTTGGTTAACTCAAGAAAGCACCAACTTTTCGAGGGAGTAGCAATATTATATCATTAGTCAGGGTGTGGGTAAGGAGGAGACGCAGGGTGTAGACCTGCGTCTGGATCTCTAGAGTGGCATGACTGTGAATCTTTTTGACACCTGCATCTGCATTCATGTCCACACGTGCAGCCATATCAAGACCTACAATCCACATCCCACAAAACCACACTCACATCTTCCACCCATACTCCACATCGACCTTTACCCGCACATTCACACACCGTCACACCTTATTTAGATCTACGGATCGTTCGAATAGATACACAGCCAAAACTATCTGATGAGACCTGTCACACAGGTTGTGATACGTCATGGCTGGCTCGATACATCCATCTCTTAATAACCACTAAATCATACATGTTTCTTGTTTGTGATCATTAGATCATTTTGAACAGAACTTGTATATTTTTTCGACAAAACTGTCTGATAACATTTTCAGCAGGATCGAAACGCATTATAATTGCTCATAACACCCACACCAGCTCACATGCTGATTAGTTGATTTCTCATTGTTTATTTTTAATAAATGATGAATCATCTTCAAAAAGCATACTCTTATACATCAAAGCTTTTTATGGTCCTTGATGTTCAATAAGCAGATCGATATCATCACAAAAGTCGAAAATATTATTATTCCATGGGCTACCCGTAGTTAGCATGGTTTTAACAGTAATTTATTCTGTTGTGTGGCCAATAGTGTCATAATGACGTTTGTGTAAGTCACCTAAAAACACATCATGAATCAAATTTGAATTGCCTCTAGTTTATCGATGTACTTGTAATCTGTAGCTATCCTAAAAACTTTCAATATCTATCTCATTGCTTGACACTGACTGTTACAATCTCGAAAGATGAGTTGATCATGCCACAACAGACTTTAATGGAAAAGTGAAAATTGGTCGAACGAAAATTGGTTGATGCGGAAAATAGTCGAAAAATTCATAATAATAAAAAAAAGCTTCCAATGAGATGAATAAGCTAAAGCATTCTAAAAAGAAAGCGGAAGACGCCATTACCAACAGAGTGTGGGTATAGGTGTGGTCATGTGGTGCGGTCCAAAAAGACTTATTTCAATACCCGCACCCATCATTTTTTATTTTTTTCTCTCGCTTAAAGACAGTTGTTCTGGAGAAAGGTCCGTGTCCACTGTACTTGTGCAGTGTTTTACTACAAGAATTTTAAGTACTGGGGACAGCCTATATACTAACATTTCTTTATTTTTCACACTGCTGTCGCTTTTGTTAAAAAATTCCTTGTACATTTTTATTATGAGTTTCTCGACGCTTTTTCGTTTGACCAGCTTTCTTAGACCTGACTTGAACGTAGAAAATGATATGTTGCTGTCTAACGAGACAACGAAAAATGCGCACTTTCTCTATCCATTGATATTACAACACCACGCCAAGAGCCATAACTGTAAAATAGCATTCATCTTGTTCGATTGGTCGCGATCCTAGTCACACTGGGCGGGATTTTGGATGAATGATATTGCTAGCGTTGTAAGAAACTTGAACAATACGACATTCAGTGAGCGTCCAATAATGAATTCTCGTATGTTCTGCTTGTCTGTTTTGGCCATATTTCGATTGCACCTGCATATTCCATCTGACAATGTGGCACCACTAGAATGAGAGTACATTTGCAAGTTAGGGTGACTTTATTGTAACACCAGACAAATTCGCAAAGACGAAATCAGGTTTATTGAAATACGTAGGTCTGAAACTGGCATTCTGCAATTGATAGAGTTCAAACACGGCGTATTCAAATAGATCACGGTCAACAAAACTAATTATTATCACGCAAATTGTCTCTCGTGAGATCAGCTTAATTGATACCTTCACCAATAAAATTAGCTCCGATCAGTTTAGCATCGATGAATATTAATTTGTGAAATGAAGCATAATCCATATGTGCTTTCGGCAGATCGACACCATCGCTCGTATCAATAAACCACTGTCGTGATTCTAAACGAAGACTGAGAGTAAAATTTCAGATCATTTAAAGAAACTAGTTCAAGAGAAAACGGTATAGGTGAATGCTAGATAACTTTTTTTTTCATTTTATTCTCAAAGTGAAACGTTGAAACGTTAAAAATGTGAATGTGAGTGTGGATGGGTCTTGGTCTAGATGTACATATACTTACACACTCACATCCTCACCCAGCAACATCAAGGTCATATTTTACAAATTAATTTTTTAGCATTTATGCTTTTTTATTAGGGTGTAGGTGTGGGTGTATTGGAAAGGAGCAGAACAACACGCACAGCCACAGCGACACTCACACCCACAACCACTCACACTCACACCCACACTCACACTCACACCCACACCCACACCCCCACACCCACACCCACACCCACACCCACACCCACACCCACACCCACACCCACACCCACACCCATGCACTATTCNGTAACCTACCATTTCTAGTATGGTAGAAGCAGGATGGCAATTGATGACAATATGTATTGCATGTGTTATATTCAAAAAAAAATCCCTAAATTGAAAAATCCCTAAATTAAAATCCCTATTTGGTCACCAGTATGAACGTTACTCGATTAATTATCCATATATGTGGATTTCATTTAGGGATGAATTCAGGGAACCTGATTTGTGGAAAATGATAGACATTCCTATGAATAAGATCGAAAATGCAGTTATTCATTCTGGTTTCATTATCTATTTTTGCTTTTGTGTTTTTTTTAACTATCTACATGAATTAAAACTATACAATGTCCAATTGACCAAAAAGAAAACTAAAATTCGATCATGGTTCTATTGGATGAACTGGTTCTTGTATTAATGGTAGAAAATTGTTCGAAGTTTTTATTCAATAGCATGAATATCTCAAATATTCTTATAAGTAACACTTTCTGGTTCAATACACAAAAATGTCCTTTTACAAGATACCAAATGAAATAATATATAGAATTGTTTCTTGAAGGGTGTAGACGAGGTGGCAATATCACTATGACCACTACGGGCTAAAACAAATGTTATTGTAGAGTGAAAAATATATAATTTCCTTTAAACTGGTAGCAACGCTTGAAAATGTTGGTCTGATGCCCCAAAACAATGCATGAAATTTATGTGAGATACTTCCAGCTGAACAAACATGAAAAACCTACTGGAGGTTTCGGTGATGATGGCGTCAGTATCACTGGTAGCTGAAAGATTATTTTCGTTAGTACTCATCTGACAAAGAATCACTTTTAGCTATATGTAATTTTAAATAAATAGAAAACAGCTTCGCTTCTTTTGAGTAAATAATTACAATTCTTTTTCTTTCTCGTACTTATTATTCACAGTTCTTATGTTCTATCTTTGTCAGATAGAAATATATCACAATACGGTCTATGTGAAACAAGTGACTTGCACGAAGTGATAATGCATTTTCGTTCATTCTGTTATTCGTATGAAAACTATTTCAAACCGCGTTTTACACAATCGTACAATATGATATTGAAAAAGGCATTCAGAATGTGTCAATGTATTGCCTTTGTCAAAGAAAACGCATAAGATCGAATTTTTTCCATCATCATGCCAGGCAATATGGTGAATACATTCTTTTGTTTACTTTTATTAGACCATCACATTCAGATTCTTATAAAACCCTGTTTTGTGTACACATCAACTTTGTATACCTAATATTAATTCTGTAAATCAGTGGTTATTGGAAAAAGTGATAAAGACTAAATCGAGTGTAATAATATTTATACCATATAAAAAAAGAAAAAGAGAAATTCAAGCACTTTGATTCGTTCAATGATTTAATGGAAATAAAAATATTCGATGATATTTGTATTGATTTATAGTCTGAAACTAAAGAAAGACATGATAAGTCTGTAAAAATAAAGCTTTTATAATTACATATGGTTTCTATATAAAGTTTTGACTTTGCAGAGTATATAGAGAAAAGAAAGAAACTTTTTGATAAATATGAAATAAAGAAGACGATGCAGTTCGATTGGATTGATATTTACTTTGGTGTATAGATTTTAAGAATAAGAAAAATATCATATTGATAAGATTTTTATTATTATCATGCAAATGAATTGATGTACTGAAACAATTACTTCTTCTTAGGAATGTACTATCTGTATTTTATCTTAAATATCTTTTTTCTTTCTATTGCTCTCAAAATATAGGTTCTAACTTGTTATATGTATATCGATGCCTATATAATGCATCAGTCTGCATTTGTGACTCTATTTTAAGTTTATGCATCCGTCTCTGTAAAACACTCGAGTGTTACAATTCAACGTAAAATGAAAAGAAAAACGAGTATTAATAATGACAATAATGAGATGTGTTTTCTTTAATTAACAGAAGCGAATAA